ATCCCCAATGTACGCAATGCACTTTCAATCTTCATAGGTAAGAATACAAAAAGTGCCATGCTTCGGCATCCCCAAGATCCAAATTTGGAGCCGTCACACTCAGACAAGTGGAAGCCGAGTCTCGGCTGCCGTAAGCTGTCGACAGATTTCGTTGCAACTGAAGTGACATTGCATTAGATGGTTTCAAGTAGAGTACGTAAACAGTCAAAAAACCACATGCTGTCTCCTCGAAAGGAGCTTGGTGTATCAGCTGCACTCAGTATTTTCCATCGCAGGTCAAATGTTTTGTAGTAAGTAGTTCTAGAACATAAAATGTTAGCCGCTGAACGGCTGCTGGTGGGGTTCGGGAGCCAGCCCTAAAGCACAACGGGACGAGTGAGTTTCGTCACTTATCGGTGAGCGCCCACCTAACATTGTTAATAGTCCCGATCGAAACTGGCAAGTGGGCTGTTAGAGCGTTGGACTTCTAGCTAGCGGGCCGCAGATTCAAGGCTGAAATGCCATACCAACCTGAGGGAGGTTGGGGATGGCTGGCTGATGACGGCTAGTAAGCCAGAAATGGCCAGTTCGGTCTCAACTTTGTCCTTGTCGGTAGTGTATTTTTGCCTATAGGGTTGAGTCACCTTTGAAATTCGGATGGCCTGGGCTACTCACTGTTTTCGCAAGCGTAGGTAGGCAAGAAGTGTGAGAATATAGGAATGATAATGATACAAGCTAAATTATGATGATGAAACTTAATTAGTCCAAAATATAAGACAGTAATGTAGCCTCTTCTTAGGATCTAAGGACTATTCGATTACGGTGTGATAAAGTCGACACTTTCAAAAAGCAGCCCACATATTTTGACTCCAGACTTAAGAAAGTCGCACCAAACTGGAAGTTCGGAGTTTAAATTCGACGGTCAGAGATGATCGAGGGGAAGTCGCGGTCCTCCAAACCGCCGACTTAGTAGCCTTGGACGCTAGGATTAGGCTCTCAATTACACAGAATTTAATCCGCAACAGTCGCGTCCACACAAAGTTCACAAGCGCTTCCCCTCCCTAGGCATCGTTTGCAGTATGTCCCACTACAGACCACACAACTAGGTTTTTTTTTAATTTAGCATATCGTGTGTAGGTGTATGGATGGAACTTTTGCCCTCCAACCGGACTGCGCCACCACTGCAATTAAGCAAAATGGGAGCGCAACTGCTTAGTGGCAGGTTATACAGTCTTTTCTCGCGGATGCAACTACTGCAATACATGGGGTTGGCATGCGGTAGGTTGAAGTTTCACGTACGATCAGTCAGTAAACCCAATCTCATCCTCATTCGGTCGAATTTGGATGGGTCTGAACTGGCATCTAGAGGAGATAGCAAGCTCAAACCAGGTTGCTTCCGGTGCTCATCTTCCTCAAAACAAGCAAAAGAGCGCAAATACAACAACCTAATAATCCTGGTCTCGAAGGCTGCCAGACAACGGAACAACTGGGTGCTACTTAGGTCTTCAAGGCGTGTTGCAATGGCTCCTATTTGATGCAATCTTCTCTGCAAGGAGATCAGAAACCTCCTATTTGAAGACTGATTCACGTAGGGTTGCAGCAGACCGGTATGCACGTGACACGTGTGTGTCCGACCATCGATTTCGATTAAGTCCACCAAGTGCACCAACAGGTTGGTACAGA